GAGAGAGAGATTCAGAGCCTAGCACCTAGTGATTGAGGCTGTGCCCTCATGAAACAGCCTGTAGTACAAAATATAATGTTCAGTTCGTAACCTAGTGTCTTTGATTTAATTATATATATATATAATTATATATACACACTGTATTTACCTTTCTATGATTTATATTTATATATAGGCCTATTCATATATTCACATAGGCCTATATATATATATATATATATGTATATATACATATATATATATATATATATACATATATATATGATTGTCAAGATCAACTACTCTGTGTACCTGGAATTTGGGGCAGTCTCGGGGTTCGGTCTCAAATTAGAAACCTCTAAATTGAGACCACGGACAGAAGTGACACTTGGTGGTTACAATAGGCCTATGTGAAAAAGGTCGTAACTTTTTTCATCTGAAGTCATAGTATGATAATATGGGTATCTATGTTTTTGAGGCCCAGGAATTGGTTAGTGGTGACAGAAATACTTAAAAATTTTATTTTCAGTGGTCAAATTTTAAACTTAATGCTTTTTTAGGCTTACGGTAAGATACGCACTGTATCGAAAAAAATATAGATACAGCTAATCCCACTTTCCACCCTTTATGAGGCTACCAGCAGTGTTGCTAAGATTGGTACAGTATATTACACAATAAAAACATTTTTCTAATTATTATTTTGTTAAGTGGACAGCCTGTAAGATAAGCAAATACTCCTGAAATTTTTGTTATGATAAACCTTTATGGTTACGTAGGCCTAGAGCATGAATATGAAATCGATGTTGTATGTATAAGTTATCAGTCATCAAAATTAAGCTAATTTTTTTAAAATGTTTTGTAAATGAAGAAGTATAGGTGGAAATGGTCATTGCTACAATGATAAATGAAAGATAATAAAAATTAAACTGTACCTATTGTTTATCCTACAGTGCGTATCTTTATTAAAAGAAGGTGTCAAAATACTCAGGTCCAGAAGAAACTGCTTCATTTAAGACCTGTACATTTGTTACTTGAAATATCACCCTTTTACAGACCATCACTATTAAACAACTTTATTTATTTCCTCTTGGTGGACAACCGTAAATAAATCATTTTCCATTTATCGTCCCGCTCCCAACCCATGACCGTTCTCTTTAAGAAAGTACGGTCTAAACCCTCCCCCTTTAACGTAATAGAGAACCAGATGCAGAACTTTATATGGATCAACTTATCTGTTAATGTTAAAGTTCAATTTTTCAAATTACACAGTATTTATTTTTTTTAAACCCTTTTATTTTCAAATTTTGTCACTTGGAACTTCCATAAAAGTGGTCTCGGTCTCGAATTAGATGGGGTCTCATATACCTTTCCCGGCTGTCAATCAAACTTCCAAGTAACCAATCAGAACAAGGCATATATGCGCTGTTTACAAACACGTTTTCCACACAAACACACGAGTGAAACGGTGAGGTCAGTGTTAAAAGATAGTTGGTTAGTTCTGGTTAGTTCTGGTTAGTTGGTACTTTGAAAAAGTGGTCTCAAATTAGAGGGGTCTCGGAATTAGAGAGGTCTCGAATTGGAGGGCGGACTGTAATATATATATATAGAGAGAGGGGGAGTGACGGGGGGGGGGGGCAAGGGGAAGAGAGAGAGAGAAATGTTAAGCGTAAAAAGATACCTACTCTAAATCGGCTGGTGGTAATGCTTTATACATACAAATTCTAACTCCCAATTCGAGACCCTCGAGACCACTTTTTTAAAGATCTAAACAACCGTCAATTTTTTAATACTAAGTGAAGACGAACCCAGAGACACCCCTCCCAGAGGGGTCTCGTAAGACGAACTGTATACAAATTACGGTAAAGAAGTGAAATCTGCCACTGTATGACAGCAAAAGGCCCCAGTTTGAATCCCAGTTGGGGCACGGTTCACAATCTTACTGGGATGGGTATATACGGTAGGTTTTTCTCCAAAATGTATTATTTTATTTACATTTTTACAGTTATAGAAGATTTACTATTAATGTATGTCTATTTTTATTGAAATATACCGTCTACAGCCTTAAATCTATATTATTAATAGCAACCGATAATGTGTCCTTGGGCCTATTTTATAAATTACAGCTGGGTTCTGGTTTGGTTTTTATCGTGCCGTGCTGAGTTTTACTTTGGTACACGAGCAAGATTTCTTGCTTGCTCAAAACAAAATTACCTTAAAACTACGAAAAGCATATGAAACTATCATTTGAAGTGAATATTATCATCATATGTTAATTGGTATTAATAAATGTAGATAATGTCTACAGCCTTAACTCTATTATGTTGATAACCAATAATGTGTTCTCGGGCCTCTATTCATATAAAATACAAGGCTCTTCTCTCTCTGGGCGTTCCTCTTTGGTATTGACTGTACCAGTACCGCTTTGAATTTTACTTTTGTCACCCTTCTGGTGCCTATGGCAACGTGCTAGATTCTTGTAACCTTCTCTGAATTTCGGAATACGCCACCAATATATAATCGGATTTAGTGCTGAATTAAGCATCAGAAACGGTAACATAATTGCGGATATTTTTTCCACAAACTCCAGCGATACCCAGCTATGTATATAACATATCATTATTAATTGTATTGGTAATAAACAAATGATCAGTGAACACACTAAAATCCCAAATGTAAAGAAGAGCGACCGCAATCGGGTCTGTCGAGCAGATCCAGAGATACCCCCAACTTCGTGTCTATTGGATTTGCGTTTCAAAATAACGAAAATTAAAATATACAAGAGTACCACGCTAAGCGTCAATGCACAATGTATGTATATATACACGAACCCGCGATTGAAAATAGCAGGTAATACAACTAAAAAAACCGGTAATAACCACAGTAATATTGATATGATAGTTAATCTACATGTACTAATAATCTGACCATATCTAACTGGAGCAGCGACAGCTAAGAAGCGTTCCAAACTCGCAGCAAGAACAAAAATTAAAGACCACAACATTATGATCAACGTTAAAATTAAAATTAAAATTGCATATGGAATGTACTCGGTAGTTGATAGGACCAGAACTATAATAGTGAAGTTAAGACACCCACTTATCAAATCGACGACTGCAAGATTAACTATCAAAACACTTGACTTTTTCCTTAGGTTCGGGATGCAACAGACAGTGAAGATTACGAATGCGTTTTCAAAAATGGCTGCAACGCAAATTATTACCGTTAAATAGGCACTAGCCATTCCGGCTCTGACGAAGTTCGTATTTGAATAAAGGTAACCATAATCGAAAGAACTAGAATAAGTGTTTATATCTGTCATGTCGGTGTCATTCATGTTATATTTTTTGTGCGTCAATCAGATGAGCAAACAAACTTGTTTAATTTAAATGTTCTCAGACAGCAATTGATATACTGTTTGGTGAAGTTGATTCTAGTATCGAATATGTCTTGGAAGGTAGAGGTACTTGCTAAAACAGGTGACAAAACACAAGAATTCTGTATAAGAAAGACGTTGTTTGAAATTAATTTATGTTATTTCGGCATACATCGACTACGGTACTACTGTAAAGCTCGGTTTCCACATCGTCGCTCAGCCTATCGGCGACAGTCGCCGACGGCTGTTGGCAAGGTTGAATCTGGTTCAACTTTGCAGATTGCGTTTCAGACGAATCAGGATGCATGGCTACTGCCTGGACGCAATCAGGATGCACCCGATTCGTCTGCCAACGCAATCGGCAAAGTTGGACCTGGTTCAACCTTCCTGACACCTGTCGGCAACAGTCGCCTGTCGGGTGAACGATTCTAAGTGGTGGATCCATGGGGTAGCGAAAAGGACGTACCCACTCCTTCCTAGCTAGACCAGCCAATTACTACGAAAGCTCAGTGCCAATTAAGTAGTAATCCGTTAGTACGGATTATCAATCCGAACTATGAATTAATAATCCGTACAAACTAATTAGTAATCCGTACAAACTAATTAGTAATCCGTACAAACTAATTAGTAATCCGTACAAACTAATTAGTAATCCGTACAAACTAATTAGTACCGCAACACTTTCGAACGAATTGTAATCCGTACAAACGAATTAGTAATAAGTACGAACGAATTAGTAATCGGTACAAACGGATTAGCAATCCGTACAAACGAATTAGTAATCCCACAAACGGGTTAGTAATCAGTAAGAACGACCTAATAACCCAAGGCATTGTAATCCGTACAAACGAATTAGTAATCAGTACGAAAGAATTAGTAATCACTACAAACGGATTAGCATTCCGTACAAACGAATTGCAATAATAACGAATTATCATTGGTCTCAGGAAGCTTGGGGTGGTGGAGAGGGGGGCATACAGAACGGCTTAAAAAAATCAGATGTTCTCCCAACCCACTATACAGAGAGAAAATACTGGGATTATCACACATTAATTAACATCATTAAGCACTGATTACAGTAATATATTGTTATTAACATCATGTATTGAAGAATAGTTATAAAAACGAGTAGGTTAACATTTCGAAGTTTTGTTTATCTACTGAGATCTCATTTGTTTTCGTATTATAAAGAAATAATAAATTATATAATGAAGAATAAACTAATGAACAAATACTAAATGAAGAATTCATTAAATAATAAATACGAGGAATTAATTTTAATGAGTAAGAATCATTTTACTTTTAACTGGTATGTTTTATAATTTACAACCAACTGTTTAAATATACTCACCTTTTGTGCCCGATTTGTAGACCCTCCTACAAAAGGGACGCAAGTGTATCTCAAATGCTCAAGGACCTCAGCTGGAAACCCCTACAAATTTAAAAGAAAATACAAAGGCTAGCTACACTATTCAAAATTAGGAACGTGGATCATAAAATTCTACGTAAGAAAGAAACAACATGTCGACCCGCGAGAGGACACAGTGAAGCACTATGCTAAATAAAGAGGAATTCGCACTTTCCTTTTTTTTTAATTAAAACTTCAGTAGAATGCAACAAACTGCTCCAAACCACAGTTGATCAGCCAAACGTCGCAACTTTCACGACAGCACTAAGACCCAAATTGCCTGCAGTAGAGTACACGTCAACATTACGAGCCCGTGGTCTGTATGATAATGATTCTTAATGATCAGTAATATTTGGCAATTCAGAAGTTAAGTTTTACTATAGGACCTCACTAAATTAAACTAAATAAGGTCACACCGGACCTTTTCGCTAAATTGTAGTGTGAAGGTGAAATTATCTCTCCATCGATTATCGATTATTATAATTCATAATGAATTTTAATATTTTGCAACAGTTACACGGAAACGCACTGTTGCTGTATGCAACGCCACCCAGTTTTTGCCTATCTTCTCTCGTCGACCTTTTAACTAATGTTAAATTTACCCCGTAAATCAAATAAATCAAACAGATTTTGTTGACAATTTTACTTGTACTGCACATTATGAAGACGACTACTGACGTTGATAAACTTGAGAAAAATCACTAAAGATGATCTTCTCATTCCTAAGCCTAATCTAGAATAATGCTCCTTACATCTACAACTCTCTTCCACCTATTGTCCGTTCTACTTTCTCTTCTTTTTAAAATCCAACCTTCTTAGTTATCTTTCATCCAATCTTGTGTAATTTTTCCCTGTTGCCATCTCTTTTTGTTGCAATATTTTTAATCTTGATTTCGTTCTGTTTTGTATTGTAAATAATTTTAGTTTTTTTTTCTTGATTGAATGTTTTCCTTAAATCATTATTTTATATAATTTATATACTGTAGACCTATAGGCCTATAAGCTTTTTTTCTGATTTTTATTATTTTCATTTTTATTAATTTTTTCCTGCTTTAATTTAATTAATTTGTTTATGTTAAAGACCAAATTTAATTTTTATACTTATGTTCTATTTGTATGTACTGAGGGTTCCAATTGATCAGCTCAGGCTGGATGGACCACCCTCACAAAATATTGTTGAAATAAATAAAAAACATAAATTAATTAATGATTTTGGTTTTGAAATATGTAATTCAAATATTTGCATATTATACTAAAAAAATAATGTATGTAATTGGAACTACTATTAGTCAAAACGGCGGCATTATCAGCAAAATTTAATAAAACTGGAAAAGTGCACCGGCGGTATACTTGGTACGCAGGGGCGGATTTAGTGGGGGGGGCGGCGCGGTCCCGGCCTCCCGGTAAAAAAAAAAAAAAAAAAAAAAAAAAAAAAAAGAGAGAAAAAGAAAAAAATGATAGCCCAGAATGCCTCAAATGTTATGTTCGGGCGTCTAGAACACAAAAATTTTGTGTTCTAGACAGTGTTGTCTCAATCGGCCCAACTTTCGGCCCCCTTCCGGCTCCCCTTTTGGACATTTCTGGATCCGCCCCTGGTATGCTTGATGTGGGTACGTGGAAACGTAATGTTGGACTGTATGCAGCATCACCCAGTTCCAGGACTCGTTTAACCACGCGTCAATAGGCTGGAAAATTACTTGCGCCTATCCGGATAATTGCGTAAACACAGAATAGGCCTACACAATATTTCAAAAGTTTTATGATGTTCCTTAATTTATTGTATTTTAACGTGTTTTACCCTAACATCGTAACTTTCTCGCCTCCTTTCTTGGAGGTGTCGTTGTCGCTTACTCTACCTCTAAAACGCTCCCAGATTTCACTACCAAATGTGGTTTTGCTCGCAAAGCCGATGCTCGAGATTGTGAGTTTCCTACCTATCAGGTCCAATGCGGCTTGAAGCGGTAAGGCAAGCCTGCTATTAACTAATGCTACGCGTAATAAACTGCGGTGGTGGACCGTTGGAGTCCTTTGCAAGTAGATCTTTACCCACTAGAACCAGAACCAGAATCAATTCTTCGTTCCGGTCACCCATCAATTTCAGGTAGACAGGATTTTTCTCCGGTTATAGGATCCCTGCAAAGGGTAGCCTACTGTATCAAGAAATATATATCTAAGTTAGGAACTGAAAATTTATTTCAAAAGAAAGTTAAAAAGGATAATAACATACGATGTGACTGTTTTACTACCTTGTTTAAAGATAGTCAGAGGAGGGCGAAAAAAAATTAACAAAATTGTTTTCTTATTTGCCAAAAACACCAGACAAAGGAGGAAATAAGATAAACTTTTATTGGTGAATGTAAACAGTGTAGTAAGGGGATGCTTTAACATTTCTACACCTCTTGTTAAACCGTACTCCTACACTTTCGGAGTCCTTGGGAGATCAGCTTTACCTACCAAAACCATGAATAATTCACAAAACTGTCTGCGCTCAGCTCTTGAAAATTGGTCTCGGGTAGCTTGGGGGTGGGGGAAACACAAAGGTACTCCCAACCCACTGTTGTTTAACCAGAGAGAAAATACTGGGATAACCACAAATTAGATAACATCTTGCAGCACTGATTATTGAAATGTATTGTTATCATTATGCAATGAAGAATAGTTTTAATAATGGATTACAAAGTTGTTATAGGCCTATACTAAGAATTTCGAATTTATTTTCTTATAAAGAAATAATAAATCTTTTTAATGAAAAATAAACTAAGGAACAAATATTAAATTACGAATTCAGTGAATAAGAAATATTAGGAACAATTAAGTTTGTCGTGAGCAAGAATTCTTTTAATTTTGACTGGTATGTTTATCATTTACAACCAAATTAATGTTTACAACCTTCAAAATTAAAAAAGAAATATGGCTTTACTCACCTAGTATCCTAGTATCTGGCGTTAATGCACTTGTGCTTTCTCAGGTTGTCTGAAGCGGATTCGATGGGACCAGTTTTACTTTACAAATACAATGCGTAAAATATTGGTTCTATTAAAAGGCAAACAAAATTTGAGTTGCTTTGCAACACAAAACTAAAAAAAACTTAAATTTTCAATGGACTAAAAAACAGACAGAAAAGAAAAGAAAATAAGGAAAGAACGGAAATGGAGAAAATGCACGGATGTCAATGGTCTGACATTTCTAAACATAGTCTCAACACTGCCTCTACTGGATAATAAAGAACAAAGAGGATTTGCAGAAAATCGAAACTTACTTGGAGCAGGAAATCGTGTTGTCCATACCCAGTACCCGCCTGATTATAAATCGAATGGAAATTCACCGATAGTTAAAAAATAAATATTTAGAGTTGGAAGTAAGCTGACCAGTAAACGACGTCGAGCCTCACTTGTAACAACTTTGCACAATGACCCAACGCTGCACAGAAAGCCAACAACGGAAAATGATAAAGAAAATGAGAGTAAATGTGACTGACTCATTATGCAACTTTCATTGAATTTGTATGCAAAGCAAGCACTGGAATCAAAATTACTATTTTCTTAATTGTTATAAAAGTATGCCAAAATTGGTTTATAATTTTCATTTTTGATCATTATTACGGAAATGCTTATATTATAGATAAATTTAATGACATGTGTTCGCTTATGTGTCTCGGTTTATTATATTTCATCAATCATGCGACAGGTTTATTCTTATTGATTCCTAGCTCTGCTTAACACATTAAGCAGTGACGGCGCCAGCGTCTGAAATCTGGAAGGGGGAAGTGAGGGGAAAGGTAAAATTTTAAGGGGTGTAAGTTTTCCCATAGCAGACAGGAAATACAATCATAATTTATAAAATCACAGCATTACCGGGTAAAGTTTCTAATGTACTTGTAGTTTTCATTTAAATTTTCAGTAATTTATTACAAATGTAAAACGTTTGTTAAATGCATTGTGTTTAAGTGGCCAGTGGCCTTGAAAAGACAGAGAGACCAATCGGAGAAATTAATATTGTTGGGCAATCTTACAATGTTCATATTTCCAGCAAAACTGGGGGAGGGGGGAAAGAAAATTATCTGAAGCGCCGAAAAATATGCCCGTACCGCCACTCACACTAAGTCACGTTTCATTCCTTTTCCTTGCTCCGGTCACCCATCACCAGCCCCGTAGCTAAGCTCGTTTGAGAGTGGGGGGTTTGGGGGGGGGGGGGGGGGGGGAAGCAGAAACATTTCCTAAGGGGGCCATGTACTAGAAGGGTCCAACTTAGTCCCACCACGGTTGTCAAGATACATCCTGACACTACAAGGACGTCCCCGGCTCAGTCCCTGCTATTGTGCGGATTGGAGAGGGAGGGGGTGAGAATTACAATTGAGAAACGTGCATTACTCCGAGTAAAGTCAGAGGCGCTGTTGAGACAGTGTATTTTGACCTTTAATTGGATCGTATTCAGTAATGAAAAATTAATCATACTGCATTGCATAGTGTTGTTTAAAAAATGGCATTGGCATTAGAAAAATGTTTAAATTGTGTTTTGAGTTTTATATTTTATGGTGAAAATAAAATTATAAAAATGTAGTAAAGTACGATAATAGTGTATGATAGTGATTATGTATTCAATTAATAATGCCAGAAGAAAAAAAAACCAAAATATAGATATCAGTCTTCTCTGGCATGGAATGTTCTGCTATAGCCCCGCCCCTTAGTTGTTGTTGCTACGGTACCTGAACCTGTTCTGATTGGTCAGTTGTTAAGTTTGATTGACACCCCAAGAAGGTCCATATGAGACACTATGAATCATGTGCAGAAATTGCACAGTATAAATGTTAGTTAATAGATAATTAATAGTTGTAATTGCTAATTATTTTAATTATGATATTACAATTTCGTGTGAATGTTATTGCATTTTCGTAGAATCTGAAGATCTAATTGTAAAAATAATCAGTTATTATGTAATTCAGATCGGGTTGTTTTTATTTTTTGTGTG